ACATTGATTCTTACCCGTTGTTTAATTTCGTTATTTCGCCATTTCGTTTTTTAAACACACTCTTCGACACTCCTCGCTTTCTGCTACCATGATAGGTTCAAATCTCTCTCTTTTTTAACACGTCTATCTGAATTGATCAAGTAAATAAAATGTTTTGCACCTGTGTTAAAGGCCTAAAGAGCTTGGTTTTGATAACATATGTGCTATAAAAGGCAAATTGAGAAGGAACATGATCTCGGTTACAAAATTGATTTGACAAGTGACACCACTGGACGCTAATTCAGCTAATTCCTGATTCGGAACTAATGTCACACCAATTTGATGAAAAAGCGGAGAAAATACGAAAAGAAGTATTTTACATAAATGTGTGCATCATTTCCGCAAACTTTTTTCGTGAAACGAGACGCTGATAACTGTATTATCCTTTTTAACCCAAAATTATCGTGACTCCTCCGTTTTGCCCTCAAAGTTCTAACTCTACTTTCACTTATACTAGAAACAATAAAAATTAATTAGATCGTATAAAAGTTGTAATAGACTTTCACAGTTTTGTGTCCTCATGATCAGGACAAGAAAACATGCTCGGACATTGTTTAACATCTGGGAATATACTTGGTGTTGCTGTGGGATTAGATGAAAACTGAGAAACAACGTCATCCAGGGGAGACTCTTGCTCGTCTGTCTGAGCTTCTGTGTCATTCTTGGGTGCTAAAAAAACATGAGATGGTGTCGAACGTAGGAACAGAAATACTTTTAAAATTACAGCAAAAAAACTTTGGATGTTGCATAGCACCAAAACTAACTGTTTCTTGTCTTATTCGGTCACACGATTGCTGCAGGCAAGTGAAAACTTTCAATGAAAGAACACCTAGAAAAATCAAAATTTGATTAACGTCTTTTTGCCGGAGAATATTGGGTTGTCGTGGCAGCATCAAGTTCCACACAACTACTAAAATGACTAACTTGTTTTCCAGTTAAGTTTCAATTAAATTCACGACGTTTGGTGGCATTTGCTTAGAACATGAACAACGTATTAGCAGTTTAATTTCGTGAACGTATTTAATCGTATTAGTTTTACGCTGATCTGGCCATAAGGATTGATTTACTGCAAATCTTAAGATAAACATTACAGCGCCTACCTTTGAACTTGCAGGGTAATACTGAAGATTGGAAAAACAAAACCAACAAGGATCCAACCAGAGTTAATATCGCAGGTGCCATTACAAAGACGTGTTGTACATAACTGCTAATCGCTTCATTCGAGTTCGAGCTACGATAGGAGAGAGAGAGAGAAATCAAAACATATTGGAAAGCCTGTTGAATCATGTGATTGCAAGACTTTGTACGTCTTCGTTGTGCTTAATTTTATTTTAACACTTTTGAAGGGAGGTTAACTCAATCATAAGCCCTGCCCTACTCTAACTTCGTCTCTCATCCGTCCCCCTATTCCTCCTTAAAGAAAGAAAACTCACAAGCAAACATTCTCAACTAACAAGCTACCCCCGACCTTTCCCGAAAAAAGTCTTTGTCTGTGCGTTCAGATTTAGCTAACCTCGTATAGGAAATAGACGAGGAATGCATGCTTTTCTGTATTTTTTCTGTCACTGCAATACGCTAACTTCGACGTTCACTTTTTTTAATGCATGTAGAAATTGTTTTGTGTTTCATCGCGTTATATATTTGGACAACAGACTACGATCATAATCTCTTGATTTAGAGCATTTTTTGATGACTCCTAACCAAAAGGGATTCTTATAAAGGTAATTTAAATCAACCAGTTAAATAATAAAAGTCTTCTCCCGATCGTTCAAAATATACGTCAAACTACACACTTTAACTCATCACGAATAATGCTCAGAAAATTTGAGGGCTAGCTAACATACACTGGAAAGTACGACCACCAATAACCAAAAGAGACTTTAAAATAAATCTTTGCTATAAACACTAAGAGCAGATTAAGAAGGTTAAGTAGCCATGGACTAGCTCTGAAAGCAATTCACGTTTTCCAGATAATTTAGCCCAATTCTGCAAGAAGATTAATTTTCGTCAAAATATATATGCCGCATAACTTACTTTTTTTTAGGATAAAATGTTTGTATACCAATCACAAAGCCACCACTTGACAGTCTAGCAATTACAGTGATAATTGAAATCACTGATCCACTTGTTTCCTGTAAATTTACGATATCGTCAATGAGCTATTTAACAAGTTGACGGCGGTCGGTTTTTTTATGCGTCTGTCCTCTTGTTGATGATAACATTGTCAAAGTGGCCGTGGAACCACGAACCGCAGTAAACTTTGACAATGTTATGACGCAATTTATCATCAATAAGAGGACAGACATATAAAAAAAACTGACGTCAATTTGTTTCTTACAATAACAAGACTCCAAAATGGTCAAACGCCGGGAATAAATGAGGGGAAAAGATTCCATAAACTTGCCGTAAACAAAAATAAGTGAATTTTTATTCAAAATGACGTGAACTTTGTCAATAGCTTTTCTCACTTTTTGATTGGCTGCTTAAAAAAGTCCATAAAGTCTCATTGGTTAAAAAGTTGACAGTTTGACAGCTGAAAGCTGTTGAACTTGAAAGCTTGCATAAATTAAAATTTTATCCGCCTGTGCAATTATTGATGAAAAACTGAGCCAATCAGCGCGCGAGATATTAGACAGTTATTGTAAAAAATCTATTCAACAGATTGATTCCATGTTACCGTGCGTCTGCTTAGTAATAGGGAGCTTAAGCAACGACGACGCCTAGTCGAAAATGAATTTATATTTTACCAGTGAAATTGGCAATTGTCTAGATCTGTTCAATGCGCCAATGGCTCTAAAAACGTGCTCAGGTTAAATGTGCAATGACAGCGTTCAACTCCAAATGGAAACACCAAAAATTTGCCGTCGTCGGTCGCGTTCCTCAGACTACGCAGACTTTGGTCATTTCACGTTGTTGGTTTGCAGAGGACGGCTAAGAAATGTACAAAGATTTATAACGCACGTGCACAGCCATTGTACTACTTATTAAACATTTTGTTTTGTGGCATTCTCGTTGCCGTCGTCGTCGTGGACAGTTCGCACGAAAATTTTCCAGTTGATAGATATATTTTTTTAAATTTTTACTGCAGTCAGATAATTAGTTACTTGTGTCAGAAATGCAAAAATAAATTGGGGGCCACCGACTTTGTTTCAGAGATAAAGCGTGTGGAAAACTACTCTGATTTTGAAAACTTGACGCACGTAATTCAGCATGGTCTACAGGGGTTTATAGTTAAAAATATCCAAGCTGAGTCAACGGAGGCAAACGATCTGAGTCATATTTTGTAGAAGTGGATCTGTTGTGTAAATAATTCCAAATGTTACCAACGTTTTCACAAAACTTAACCCTTCAAGCCGTCGCACAGATAAACGAAGAGCTAAAAAGAACGGAATTCGATGGTGCATTTTGCGAAGAAATCAAACTTCTAGTCCGTAGATTTTCTTCATTTTTTTGCTAAACGTAGAAAATCGGTAGAGAAAATGATCCATCAAAAGAAAAATAGGGGTCACCGAACGTCCAAGATCGTTAAATCCATGAAAAACTATAGCAATGGCCATCTGCTCTATCATTGTTAATTTCATTACTT